GGATTGTATACTCGCTGAGGGGGCCGTTGGGTGACATCGGGCGTCAGGCCAACACTCGAGTGGAACCCGAAAGGGAAGCGGCGAGTGGTTCGTCGGTCCAAGGGTGACATGGAGAAGATCGTGTGAAGAGGAACTGAAACAGTATGGAATTACATGGACGCAAGTGAAAAGAACAGCAGAAGACAGAAGCAAGTGGAGACGTGCAGTTGAAGCCCTATGTTCCACTAGGAACCCAAGGGAACAATAATAATAACACTGTGTGATTTATCAAAATAAAATATTATCCATAATAGAGTTATACTTTATCACAGTGCCCAAGAATTACCACAATCTCTGCTTGACTTATATGCATGTCAGCAACGTTTTTATTAGAACAAAAGGAGCAATATATTTCACTGCAGACTGTTTAAGAAACATATGCAGAATCAAAAGCTGCAAACAGGATTTCAATTCGCATAGGATTCTAAACACTCAACAATCTCTGTAATAAATGAAGACCAGTTGTTTTGTAATGGAATAATTATTTGGAAAAGCACTGCTTGTTATTGTGGGAAAGAACCCCACAAATCAAACGAAGAATTACCATCTTTATTTTGTTTTAGAGCGTTTTGTGACTATGCGTGTTTCAAGGAAGTTTAAGACAGATATACAGTATGACGCAGAGATTGATCTCCTGCGTTAGGTCCACAACAAGTTGGTTTTGTTCGTAACAGCATTGATTACTGTGGTTTTCATTCTAACTCATTCGACGGCATAAGATGCTTTTTCTATCAAATTCATTGAGAATGATGAATGTAGGCTCTGTCAGCTAGTGTTTTCGCACTCTTTACAACTCAAGTGGAGACGTGTGAGCTAATTCAGCTGCATTGTATTGTAGTGACCAATTAGTCCATAGGGCTGTCGGCTAGAACCCTTCAATAATCAAGCGAGAGGTTAACAACAACAACTAACATGAATTATAATGTGTTTTGTGCTAATATAGCCGAAGATTGATGGGAAGCGGCCAGAAACTGAAAACAACATTTTAAGTCAATAGCTGCAAGTGTTGTTTATTCCTCAGATTTGGGCCTAGTTTAATTTGTGGTCTAAAGATAATCTCATTGGACAACTTTGCACTCTTTTGTTTAACCTTGAGTCAATCACCTACCAATCAGAACATTTTATTGTTCACTGACCTAGGCGACTTTTAAAAAGGTTAAAAATGTATTAATATGATGCGTTTTTCCTTAATAAAAATGTTCATTACAGAGTCTCATATCTTCTGCCGTTACAATTGTATGACAGGTTATTAAAATAGTACATATATATTATTTGTTGAGAAAATTCTTGCTCTAAACCATCTTCAAAGTGTTCTACTTATCTCTAATACTTCGACAGCAACAAATGAAGAGAGCCATTAGGAGCATAATTAATTCCTCCTTTTTCAAGAATCGGTTTTGTAGGGATTTTGCTTGATTGGTTGGAAGACTTCATCATGAGAACCATGGGAAAACCTGCAGGGAGTACTGGACAGCTGTTTCGTCAGCCTAGTTTGGGACTCCTCCTCAGGCAGTACGCAACCATCGGGGTTCCTAACCCAGGACCTTGGAGCTACAAGTTAGAATCCATGGACTAGCCATTGGATCGAGTCTCAGTGGCTCAACGCTCTACCAACTAGTTGACCTTGTTACCAGTAGGTCCTGGGTTGGAACCCCGGTGGGTGCGTACTCTCTGAGGAGGAGTCCCAAACTAGGCTAACGAAACAGCTGTCCAGTACTCCCTTCAGGTTTTCCAATGGTTCTCTAACTGATGTCAGCTCATGATGACCCACCACCACCACTAATTTCTCCCTCTTAATTTTGTAACTTCTTGAATGAATCTCATTTTACTCTTATACTTCGATATCTCTATGAAAATCGATTAATTCTAATTATATTCATATTACTTTTGATTACATTACATTCTTCGAATATCTTATCATGTGACTTGACCTCTAATTTAAACATAAGGTTCGATTAAAATTTGACTACTAAGATAACATTTGAATATTTTATTATGACAACAATGTTTCAATATCTTTTAAATATCTATCGACACTAAGATTTTATGAATTAGTACGCAATGATAGGTACTAGCTACACATTAATCAATCATCATAGCTAAAGTCATCAGGAGGGACGATTATGTCATTCGAGGAGAATACGCACAGAAAAACAACTTCAAATTGAAGGAACTACAAAAGATAATGTTGTCTAATTAGAACTAGTGAAAGCTTCGCATTTAAGCCAGTCAACCTCAACAAACACAAAAAAACCTAAGGGGCGAAGTTAAACAATAACGACCCATGGAATGCGAACGCACAACTTACCTTGAAGCGGCCAATCAGAAGAACCATCAGTTTTTTTTTATAAAGATGACATTTATTTACGAGAAAAGAATACAAAGAATTTATGATAAAACACATTAAACAAATATTTTTCCCTGACGTGACTGAACAATATCTCCCAGCAATAATGAGGAGTATGAGCTTTTTAAGTTACACCAGTTACTGGACATGTATTGATGTATATGTATTCACAGCCGCAAACCTAACACTATCCTTCACCTGAAACGTGCCCCCTACGAGCTGTCAATACCTCAATTCGTAAACATTACTCATAGTGATGCTATAATAGTACTAGGTCTCGTTGATATTAGATGGTTGCAAACAATCAGTAGGAAGCCGAGGCTACCGTAGGATGGGACTCACCGGTCAGCGTATCTGAAACCTTGAAGGAACTCATGTCCCTTCTGAGATTCAAACTCGTATCACTCAATGCTGCAGTCAGAGATGTTTCGTTATCCAGCGAATAGTATGCGTTCAAGGTCACTGGTGTCTTCTCATTTCTGGATTTCGATACTTTACTTATTCACTGATTATATTTTGAGTACGGTTTATCGCTAATATTTACATTAAGGATGTTCGCATTTTGTATGTTCTGAGAGGTGCAAAGGGCTTCGAACAAGTATAAATTTTCAGTAGAAGTAGTGTTGTTTTTACAGGGGGGGTGGTTGCTAACCTCATATCAAACCTAACTTACATTCTGGACATATTATTGACGAGTACTCTTGGCGATGTTTAAGATGTAACAGTCGGGAATTGAACTCTGATCTGTGGCGTGGGTGGCGACCATTCTACAAGTAAACCACTGATGTAACACGGATTTGATAGGCAACGTGAGCAACGTGCCACTTAACCAGCTTGTTAATATTCTAGTCGACAGACACTTGGACTCATGTGAAAAATGGGCTAAATCCATTTTATCTAACTCACACTACTCTTTTTATTCACAACTTTCCCCTTGTATCTCATCAGGCAGAACCAGAAGCCTATATAGAAAACTATATGCTTGCACTAGCAAGTACAAAACTCAACCGTAAAGCATTAGGCGTGAAACTTGTAACTTATTAAATAGTCAGTAGGACAACTGGATCTCGTCTTTCCAACTCACATCATTTATAGGTACAACGTTTTCTTACTTTCTTTTCCTTTTCTCTCTCTTTTTTTAATCTATGTAGAATTTTATTTATTGTTAATGTACTAACTGGATGGAATGCTGTAATGAAATGCTGAGAATTCCATTCTGTATCACAAGTAGTGTTTTAGAGTAAAGCAAATTATTATTTTTATTATTATTGATTTATAAAGATTCAGGTACAAACCTCTCATTCCACTTGACTGCATTACATTTTAGAAGTGTGGCTGTTTAGTATACCCAACTCTGTAGTTCTATGGTTTTCTGACCATGAGATCAATCATAGAATCTTTCCTCATCGAAGCCGCACATGAGACAAGCAATAAGAGTGACACAATACCAGTAACACAAATATAGGAAATATTACTACAAATAAAATCAAATAATAATTTGAAGGTTATGTGGTACCTTAATATGAATATGAGCAATACATCGTGTTCAGAATACATTCAGTAAATACTACTGTACCTGTTTGTGAACCATATGAAATGAAGATTATTCTGTAACAGGGAACAAAAGGAGTGTAAACGGTCCAATAGAAGAAATCTCACTAACCACATAAGTCATCAGGTTTTGATTCCTGGCCCATAGACGGACTCCTAAATCTCGATTAGCCAGTAGCTGTCCCTCTAGAGAAGGAAGATTGGGTTTTGAGGCTAGCTACCCCATCCATGGAGAAAGAAACAGTACCACTACTGATCAGTACGCCCTGCTGACTGGTAAGTGCCAACAGGCCTCCAGCCATCCGATAACATGAAACAGACAATTATAATAAGAGTAGAATTTAGGCAATATGCTAAAGTATAATTCTGCAATAGAATAATTTTATTTAGTGACATGGCATGCACAATGATGCAAGTATTGGATGTATATTTATGCAGGTGAGTGTTCTTTAAGCTGGATGTTGTTTTTAAATACGAAGCTGTAAATGCCTTTCTGAATAGCAATCCTTACCGGTGACTTCATGAGTCGAGTAACTGTTTCTCATGATATAGTGAATTTAAACGTGACTGTCTATATTCATAGATTTTCACATTCTCTTCTCCCCTTTTATTTTGGTATTACTTCTTTTGCTAATCACCAGATTAGTTGGTCTTTTGTCTATATGATTTCCTTTTAAATCCTTTGATAAATCTGATCATATGGACAGTTTTAAAAGCCCACTTCATAATGAAGACGGTGTCTAGTGATTAAACATCATCTAACCAAACTGAGAACAGTTACTTGAGCATCAAATCCTCTCCATCCATCATCTTCATTTATCATTTATTCATTAGTGACGACTCCTGGCCCACGGATGAACTTCTTGCAAGCCCCTTAGGGAGGGAAGTTTGAGTTTGAGGTTAGCAACCCTATCCCCGAAAAAGAAACAACATCACTACTGAAAATTCAAAACTCAGCCTTAAAGCTCCATCTTCCACTCCCAACGCAAATCATTAAATAAAAAGAATAGAAATTGCGAATATGCGAATGATTTCTTATTGAATAAACACAACAGAGATTCACCTCCATAGTCGAATTCCTCATTTGAACATCCTTCATTGAATCTTTGAGTAGTGCTCGACGTGAATTGATTTTTACAGTCACGTCTTTATACTGTTTAACAGGTAATCCAATTTCACCGACAACACGTAATACAATTTGAAATAACAATTCTGAATGGTCTACATTCACTGAATTGATTGCCATACTGCATACACGAACTAGGTGTTTTGCATCACCCCAGTTTCTAAAATTATTACATTTTTCACAAAAACAACACGGGGGATGAAAACGGGGTTCAACATCAAGAAGGAAAAGAAAATATTTATACTTTAGTTTAGCAGGGAAGTGATCCATACAGGACTGAGGTGAACTGAGGTGGTCTAATTCCGAAGCCTTTATTCCTACCCTCCCCCACAAACACACACCACCCCTTCTAGACAACGTGTTCACTGCTTAATTCAAAGTGAAAAAATTGCTCGTCATACAAGTACTGTGCCTTCAATGTCTTTCATTTTGAAGTTAGCACTGAAGTTAATGGGTTCGAACTCTAATGGGATGGGTGTGTACTGTTGAAGAGTCACAGACTCACTAGGATGAGACAGCTGTCCAACAGTACCCAAATTCTCCAATGATCCTCTATTCTAAATGATGTAATAGTTCGTGATCAAACCACTAAAATCAATCAGATCCCTGCAAAACCAACACTTGACAAATGGTATTCAACTAACAACCACCAACACAACTTAAGAACAGGTAATATTTTCATACCAATAGAAAAAAACACTATGATTACCTTTGAATCCTTGTTAACAAATAGTTTAAAGTCATCATCTTTGCCCAGAATTGCTTTATTCAAAAGATTATCATATATTAAACAGTTGACCGGAATCAATTGTAGATGTGACTTGGATGGTTTAGCTAACCAAGTGTTTTTTGATTTGACACTAGTAACTAATGTGATGCGTCTAGTCCTCTCCTTGGTGCAGACTGAATTCTATCAGTCAGGTTGTAATGTGACCACCATTCTAGGTAGCTCGCCATCACGGTGTACATTGTTTGTGATGATATTAGATGGTTGGAGCTACCTAGAATGGTGGTCACATTACAACCTGACTGATAGAATTCAGTCTTCACCAAGGAGAGGACTAGACGCATCACACTAGTTACTGACTAGTGTGCAATCAAAAATATCCACTTCGGTCCTACAATAGGTCAATCACGAGTTCCAATAGCTCAATGGTAACGTCTCTGACTGCAACACTGGGTGACGTAAGTTCGAATCTCAAAGAGAATATGAGTTCTTTCAAGATGCTCGATACACTTCGATGACGAATGTACAAAAAAAAGCAAACCTTTAGGTCCAAAGCTTCTCACCGATTGCCTCCAAGCATTTAATAATGAACTGATCAGTTATAGTGATCAATCTACAGGGGATAATTATAAAATAATCAGCCGGATTACTGGTTATTAAGAATCAGCAACCTGATGTCTGAGTTCACTAGCATTGCATGAAACCCAGTCACCTCACCATTATCCCCATTTCTATCCAACTTCATCATAGATGTACTAATGGACTTAACCCTAACTCACTTCAGTGACTCAAGGATTAACTTTCTACCAGGGAATAATCTCGTTGACTTAGAATATGCAGACGACATAGTCCTTCAAGGCGAGGACGCTGACAAAATAGAGCAGAGTCTTCTGGACATCTTGAGCTGCAATCTTCGAATGTTTGGCATGCGATTCGCTCCCGCCAAATGTAAGACGATTTTACAGGACTGGACTACACTGACTTCTAGTTTAGAAATAGGGAGTGTAGTGGTAGAGCACGTTGACCGCTTCACTTATTTAGGAAGTACCATCAGCCCCAACGGGTTGATCTCTGACGAAATCTCAGCACGGATACAGAGGGCTAGTTTCGCATATGCCAGTTTACGCCATCTCTGGCGTAGATGTGGTATCCGACTATCGACCAAAGGGGGGGTGTACTGCTCAACAGTCCGCTCCGTCCTCCTTTATGGCTGTGAGACCTGGCCATTGAGAGTGGAAGACATGAAAAGATTAGCTGTCTTTGATCATAGCTGTCTGCGTTCTATCTCCCGCGTGAAGTGGCATAATAAGGTGAGCAATATTGAGGTTAGGCGTCGAGTGCTAGGTAAGGAGGGGAAATCAATCGACGAGGCTGTGAAGCTACATTGACTAAGATGGTTAGGACATATGTAACGTATGCCTAGCTGTCGAGTTCCTCGACAATGGGCAATGTTAGCTGATATAGAGTCAGGCTGGAAAAGAGCTAGCGGTGGTCAAACGAAAACATGGCACCAGTCAATGAAATCTACAACAGATAGTCTAGGCCACATAGGAAGGTGTAGACTTCCTGACTGGTTGGGGTCTTCAGGACGGTAAAAACCAATGGGTGGGAACAAATGGTGGCATGGCTCAAAGTCGTTCTCAATGGATAGCGCAGGTGCATCCACTCCTTGTGACTTATGATTTCCAATTGAACTGTTTTGTTCTTCGTTATTATTATTCCTTTGTCTCACACCTCTGTTTACTGTCTCTATTTTGTATTTCTCCTACTTTCTTCTCTTGCTTTGTGTGCTACATGAAGGGAGTGTGGCGACTTGAACTGCTGCACATATGTGCAAAGTTCTATGTCGAATACAGACAGACAGACAGACAGACAGATAGACAATGGTCACAGTAACATTCTTGTCCTAATTTTGTTTTATTTTATTGTTCATTTGTTTTAGGTTATCACTATTATTATTATTACTACTACTATTGTTTTTATTGTCATTAGTATTTTGGAATTATTACCACCATTCTTAATGCTTGTTAGTAACATTTCATTTTTCATACAGATTTTACACTTTATTGTATTTCCAATAGCTTTTGTGTAGTAAGATTGATTACGTCACGGTATTGGTGAAAACAGTGAAATGTGTAGTTCATTAAAGAGGCAATTTTTAGTGGATTCATTTTCTCTAGCTGTACAACCGCATCTATAAACAAAGAATGACAGTAACAAAAGTGATGAGTTGTTATGCCCATATATGTTAACACTAGTCAATACATAACCAGAGTTGAATAAGAGTGACGTCGTGACACTGAAAGTGAATAGTAAACATCTATTCGGCCATTTGTGGGAGTTTTCTTGATCACTTGACAGCTTACAATCCCACTAACGGTTGATCGATTTGTGAATGAAATAGAACAGATCATTTCCTTCACTTCTTTGCATTCCAAGTGGAA